AGAGACATGACAGGGGCAGGCAGTAAACAGACACAAAGTTGGTGTGAAAATCAAAGGGCAGATAAAAAGCTGCTGGTTTCCCTCAAACGCCCCCGAGTGTATCACATGATAGCACATGTACCTTCTTTTTATGTGCGTCGAGGACACCGTGCAGCTTCTCTGGGCGCAAGTAGCCATTATCAGTTAGCACGTTGAAGTGGATGTCCACAGTTTTTTCGTCTCTGTCTGCGATGCTAAAAACGTTGATACTCCCTGGTCTGACAGACAAGGTTTCAGACAGGAAGTCCCAGAACGCCTCGAGCCGACTCTTCCCCTCGACACGAGAGTCGATAAAATCTTTTGCTGTAATGCCTTCAGGAGACAAAGAGAAGGGAGGTTCGTGAAATAAGAACTACTGACTCGTCAATGACAACTACAGAGTTGATCAAAGTCTACCAAGTTCCCGATTCTATTAGCGCGAGACGTAGCCGAACATCCTTCTCTATTGATCCTATTTCCATTCTGAGTCATCCGTAAGGCAAATGAATCATGATGCGCGTAACGCCAAATTGTTTACTTTTTCACCGAAACAATGTTAGAGTCTTGACAAACTGTCTCGAACGGGATATTTTAATGACCGCGAAGGCAATCGCATTTGGCGTTTCACCTTCCGGTGATATGCGGAGAACGCGAGCAGTCACCTTTAATATCCCAAAAATGATAACAACCTGGAATCAGAGGCATCCATAAGAGCCTTTGACTCCGTTTGCTGAATGACTTTTTAAATGTCAAGGACTTTACCTGACACCTCCAAACTGACCTTTATAACTCAAATGTACTCGGAGAGACTGTCAAAAAAATGAACACTCTGACATAAACTTTCGAATGTTGAAGAAGGAGGAGGAAACGATTATCAACAAGCAGTATGAATGGTTGCTTTACAATGCTTAGAAATGTTAAATAATGCAAGTATAGAAAATTCTTTTGACAGCGTATTATTTTGGTGTTAACTGGATTGACAACCTGATAATCATTCAATGAAAAGTACCAATTTATTCTTGCTTGTGGGAGATGCTGTCTTTTTCAACATCGGCCTCGAACAAGAATTTAACAGCAACAACAAAGAGCGTGCTTTTTTTTGTCTGCGGAGGATGACTGAGAACAAGAATCCAATTGAAAACTTATTGTTATATAATTTGTTTTACTTATAGTCCTGGGGTCACGTACAAGGTGCAATCAAAATGTTCAGCTACTCAGCCCAAAATCAAAAACCTTATAAGGGTTTCCAGTTTAGCCAATCTCCCATTATAGTTAGTCTCCTTGGGCATTACCATATTGCCTTTAGTGTGGCAGATATTTTTAGCTTGCTCCCTCAAAGTCCAGCTCCTGTCCCTAGTATGTGCTAGAGCTGGCCTGAGAAAAATCCTCAACTTCATCTTTAGGTTAAGGATAACCATTAACCCCATGACCAGAAGGTTGGGGGTTCAAATCCACCAAACAGCTACTCTGAGGTACCCTTGAGCAAGATACCGTCTCTACACACTGCTCCCCCAAAAGATTTCCACCATGTGGGACTATAAGGGGTTTAAAATAAAACAAAAAAGTTTAGCTAACAATGCTTAAAATACAAACTAGACTGTTGAAAAACAAAACTAACTGAAATGAGGTTGTAAAGGCTGGAAAACTAACTAAAAAAATAAATATAGAGGAATGAGTAGGGATGGGTATCGTTTAGGTTTTATC